ATAATAATATATTATAATATAATATATTAATAATAATATATTAATAATAATATATTAATAATAATATATTATTAATTATATATAATATATTATATATAATATATTTTTATCATCTTTTATATATTTGTACCTATTATTTACATAATATCATATATAGGGGTGTGACACCACATTTGGGGCGTGAATTAAGTTTAGAGACAAATTAAATAAAAAAATGAGCAAACGTAGCAAATCGGATTCTGTCTTATCACGTCGGTGATCATCACGAATGCTTGTTGTTTTAAGGGATTGGTGTAATGACTCGCCCTGCCATTCTCGTAAATAGTATTTTACATTCAGGTCTCCTCCCTTCTTCGTCCCCTCATTTCTTTAACGTATTTTTTTTATTTCTATTCTGAAAGATGCAGCTGTCACCCCGACAGCTGTGCAACCGCCACGAACCTCCTTGTTAAACTGAGCATCTTGTCTGAGAATATACCCACCACCTGCCTCTCAGCCAACGTGTTGAGCTTTCGCGTACAAGGGCACGTACTGTGTACACCGTAGCCGTGTGCTATGCGCACGTGGTCACACGGACGAAGTTACGAGACTGATTATACTTCGTCTACAAGGGTCGCACGGTGGTTTATTAAATGCGACTTTTTGGGAGGACCACTTTCACGGTCGATATGATCCTCCTTTTTAAAAAACGTCTCCAACGTCGAACTGTTATCGCGTTTCTATGAAAAAAAAACTATTGACAACAATAACTTATCGTCAGTCTTTTGTATGATTATTAACAATAGCGGTTTTTCATCAATCGTGTCTGAGTCTATCTTGACTATCGTTATGTGATCGTCTAATTTTCTAGCAATTAAAATTGATAAGTATCCATAAATAATTGATAAATAACGTTAGTAAAAAATAGTGCAGAATAATATGAACAAATTACTTAAATAATATAAACAACGAGGAGTCAGCTATGAAAATAGCTATACTTCTATTTCACGGTATTAGAAACATTTTATTCGAAGCGAGAAACGCGATCAAAATTGGATCAATATTTCGGTGTAATTATAAGCAACTTATTATTCGATTCGGAGTGGACTAATTATTACAGACATTATCCGACGTTTAATCCGATTCGAGTTATTCGGTAAATAGAAGTTGAAGAACTTTGTTTCTAAACTAATCACGATTCAATTACGCTTAAATGTAACTTCAAGGAATTAAAGTGATTATTGTAACTTCAATTGGTCCGTTGAAAGAGCCGGGAGCGAAATTACGAACTCGCGGAGATAGGAAAAAGAGGCTTGCGGAAAGCGGAACAGCCGGCTCTTCTGCTGGTAATTAGAAACAGACAAGTGTGCGCTGCACAACAGCATCATTCATTGCATGGTTAAAATGGAAAAGATCTTCAGACGCGTTTCGCAGAGACGAGCAAAATATTCGATAAACATTCGAACGAAAAAGCTGTTTACCCTGGCGTCGTTTACCCCTTCTTCTTTTTTTTTCAGATGCGCGGCCGACCGCGTGGATGGAAATCATGCACCGTGGAAATTGTTACACTATACCGATAATCGATTAATTCACGATCCCTTGGAGAAGGCTTTGGCCGTTATTTCTAAATATACACAATACCCTCGCTATAGCAACATTCTATTAAGCTCTCTATCCATTGGATATCCATTAGTTTCGGCCGTGGCGGAGACACATGCAGTAAATTAAGTTATACAGGCACCGGTTCGGTCGTGACTAAGTGACGCAATTAAGCGAACTCGGTTTTGCGAAACTCGAGTTTTGCCAGAGTCGCACACTTTCCTCTCTGTGAGAATCAGTGTCATGTGTGAATGATATTATAACGTGGACGTCACGAAGTTTCAATTAACTTTTCCTCTGACGGAATACGCATTCGTATTCTCCTTTAAATGACGAGGTGTTTCGTTCGGTATTGTTCGTGCGATCGAGTTTACTGCTGCATCGCGTGCGGAAAAGATCGTTTTGGCGCGATATTACTGTGTCGTCAAATTTAACGACAAGAACGATATATACAAATTTGAAACATCTATTGGGGCATTCGGGAGACTTTCTAAGGAATATCTGTGTTCAATTCGAATCTTGAAAAAACAAAATTTGTCTAAATAAATGTTGTATCGAACGAATTTTATGTTATCCATTCGCGTGACAATAAATTCGTTTATCTCGATTTGCAGATGTGTTTAGAAATATCGGTTTACAGAAATATAGTATATAGTTTGTTTATGCTGAGAAATAATTTAAATTTTAGGCGCGCACTAACCTCTGCTGATGTTCTGGGTCGCGGATGCGGCCCAACACTCAACAATGAAGTTTCTCTTTTCCCGACGATCAGAGGATAGAATACTGGATCTATTGTTTTGTTTACGTTTCACTCTGCATGAGTAACGAATTTCACCGGATGGACGAGGTTCCAGACGAGACGTTTTCGCGAACGGAACGCAACTAACACAATTCACGAAAACATGAAAAAAAGACAAAAATTCCACCGGCTACGATAGTCAGACTGCTCAGACTACTAACAGTGTCTCTTCGAGCGAACGAACGACGTCTGTTGTGCTGCGAACCCACCCTGGTTACCATGGAATCATCGTTCCGCGAGGTGGGGCGCGTGAGCCAGAGCCAGCTGCGCTCGACTCGGGCAACTTCGCAGTGTCAGAGTCAGAGTTTCCTTCCTCACACTGTGCGTCAGCTCATTGTGGTGGTCGTTGAATTGAATTTTGTAGACGTCAGTAGACGTAGACACGGAAGAATTTCGTGTGGTCATGCAATTTCAAGCCTACGATAATAAATTCATGTGCCTTTCCTATTACGTCCATGTAACATGCAATGTGGAATTTTTAATGATTTGTAATTCAATCGTTGAAGTCATATGATTACATGACTAAAAAAATTGCATGTTTTCTCGTATTGTTTGAAATATCGTAAAAGTCTTTATCAATTATCATTGTCGCTATTTTGAATGTCGACGTTATCGTATAAGTTTCATAAAAAAAATTAATTTTCATAAAAACTCGAATGTAGTGTTAAGAAAATGGAGAAAGTGATGAAAATGATTGAAAATTCAAATTTTAGAATACGTTACAGTTTAATATAGGAGAATATTTGTTTTCATTGGTATATAAGGTTTTACAGAAGGATAAAATAAAAATTACAAATGCTCATACATATATTTATTGTTTTATTATAACTTTTAAAATTTGTATATAATGACACTTTGCTGTGTTTTAGTTATGCTGCTAATTTTATTTTCACTTCTGGCATGTGCTTTCTAGACCTTTAGTAATTAAACGATATAGTTGAAACAAAAGCATTAATTACGCATTACGAAATCATAATATTCTTCTTAATTGACATTTTTAGAATAAATGGTTCTCTGCACAGAGAGCCTGTAAGAACTACGTAAACATTGGAGGCAAAATGCAAAACTGTTACTTTTTTCTTCCACATATTATTTCTGTGCGCTTGATATGGTATTTAGTTGTTGCAAGTACTTTACATAAATGTTTATAACATTACCATACTTCGTGCAGTTTTAATAAATGTTTATATGCTCTATCGGAGATATTAAAAGCAGCATTTAATATACATAAACCAGATTCTCCCAATAAGCTTAGACCACATATACCTAGAAGCAAGAAAGTTTAATATTATAAATTTCTATTGATTTAGAAAATTGATGATCTTATGTTGGTAGTAATTCTTATATACCTAAGTATGTATGAAGAGGATCGGGATGGCTATCAGCACATTTTGCCAATCCTCCTGTAATGTTATCTTGAGTTTCAAGAAGAAATGCTCTGTTCTCATCGGGGTCTGAAAACTTGTTAACATCGAGCATTTGTAGGGTCGCGCCAACCCAAAAACTGTAGCAAGTATCAGACGGTTTTCCAGGTCGTCCATGAAATCCACTATCTTGTTTCATGAGGCACCATCTTCTTAGTCTATTTAATTGATCGTTTGTCAGGACATTGTGAAGCTCATTCATGAGAAATAGACTAGCTACAGCACAGAATGTAGATCCTCCGTGTGATTCAAGGCCAGGTCCTTGTCCCATTGCTCCATCATATGACTATAATTATTGTTGAGATATTGTGCTATGATAAAATTAAGTAAACAAAGCCAGTTTTTGTTAATACTCTTTATAAGCAAACTGAAAATGAATAAAGATGAAGACTTACAATACTGTTTAAAATGTAGTCAATGGTTTTCACTTTGTCTACTCCTGACCAATCATTTAAGATGCTGGATATACAACAAGCGCAGTAAAGAAATCGCATGTCGCTTTCATTCTCGCTGTTGCTATCTATTATAACAGCTACGAAAGATCCATCTGTATTTTGACAAGCTCGTAGACCTTCGATAATAGACTTTCTGTCCACTCTGCTTAAGTCATCTCCAAGAATTAGAAGGGTGACAAGTCCAAGATAAGTCATTGCTAAATGACCACACTGGTATTTTGGAACATCCTTTGGTATCATCGTAGATGGTTGGAAACCAGAACGTGCCCCAGCTCCAGTAACTTGTAGCCTATAGATCCACTCAATTGCTTCTAGTTTCGTTTCTTTGCTAAGATCATTTAAGCAATTTAATATATCAAGTCCTGATATAGCAAAGAAAGCTATAGCTAGTCTGGAATAATCATGGTCTGCCAAACGACTGGGCACCACTTGCAGTAACCTTTGAAAATATTTAGCATGCTTTTTCGTTGCTAATTGTGGCGGCATGTTGAACGATGTCGTTGAACGAAGATGAAATACTACTTGAACTATATGTCGACGTACTAAAGAAGATAACGTTGAAATTTGTTGTACGAGTCGGAAAGAAGTCCATTAGAATTGGTAATACATAAAGTCTACTAGAGTGCGCTTCAATTCCACTATATACGTATGTATGTGTATAGTAATATGTTGCAGTAAGTTGCTGGCAGGGGGCGCTAAAAAAGTTCGTTAAACGCACGCGTCGCCGGCAAACTAGCCCTTCCTTGCGCACGCCGGACGTTCGTCGCAACACTCATCAGCCGCGAAAATTTCGCAAACTACATACTACACCGGAAAACGGAGATAACGACAAACACGCAGTAAGTTAAGTTCCAATTAACCGTATACATTTGTCCGCTTCGTGAATACTTTCTCGCGGTAGTTCTCTGGCTAGTACGGTAGCGCGTTGATTTGCGCGGAGGTAGTTTGTCGGAGGACGACGCAGGGTTCTCGTGGAAGCGGCCACTGAGGGCGCGGCATTCTTGCAATTGTTGCGCCCGGCTCCAACAGAATAACCAATAGGAGCCGCGGCAGCGCCGCCATTCTATCGAGTTCGTGGCACGCCCTACAACTTCCTCCATTGTCCTTCTTTCCGGGATTCTCTGCGAGGAAGGATGGCTCAGAACAATTATTTTGGGTTTACTCACGGCGGAACGCAATATGGGTACGAAATCGATTGCATACCATAATTATTAAGTAGCTAGTGTTAAGTTTATCAAAAAATCGCGACGGTAACTACGTTGGCGGGAGTAATAAATGTTCGTTAAAATCGGTGCACGCGAGAGCCCAGCCGGCTTGGCCGCCATTTTTTGCTGAGAGTTAGAGCGTCCATCGAGCGTCTCTCCCGGGCACGGATCCGATAGAGGTCTTTTTCGTTTTGCCCGTTTCCAGTTCTCATTTTATACCTCGTGCGTAACAAAATATATTTATTCTTTCGAATAGAGCGACCAGTGCAGCCGCTTATCAAACTGGTCAAGCAGGATACGCTGTAACTCCAGCGGCAACCGCCGCCACGTATACTCAACGACCCGCTGCCGCCGCGGCTACAGGTTACGAAACTTACCAAGCGGCAGCCGCTGCAGCTGCTACAGGGACCACTTACGCTGGTAATTTTATCATTTGCAGTTTTCGAGTTGATAGTTAATCGTGTCAGTCGAATTGCATGCGATTTTCATTCTTCTAGCTGCCAACCCTGGTACTGTGGCCCAAACTTACGACTACGGTTACGGACGTGCTGCACCTGCAGCAACATACGACGCTACTAAGACATATTATCAACAACCTGCAGCAGCAGCTGCAACTTATACTACTACAGAAACTCATTACCAAGCAGCGAAGCCTGCGTATAGTACAACCAGTGCTTACACAGGCACAGCGAGGCAAGCTACTACTACTGGACAAGCTAAAACATATCAGGCGTCCAGTACTGCCTATCAGCAATCTAATCCGACACAGAGTGCTACATACTCTTCGGGATACACTGCGCCAGCTACTCCTGCTGCGACACCATCGACAGCAACAAATAGTAAGTGTTTATTGTAATATATTCACATAATTGTGTCTAATTGTCGCCAAATTTCAAAATCCTGTGTGAACGTCCTGTTAACCGTGATGTAGGCACTAATATAATATGAAATTGATCCTCCGGCTATTGAATTATTCATGTACGCAAATATATAATTCTACTAATGTTTCAAACCGTACATAGTTTGGAAATTTAGTAGAATGGAATGTATTTGCGAATTGAAAGATGAATATAAATTTAGTATTATATAGAACATTCAGAATAGTATATACAGTACTTTCAAATATTCAGACGAATGTATAAAATACTTGTACCGATAAGTACAAGTTAGTAGGATGGTTCCATGAATACCAAGAATTGACTCCTCCAAAGTTTGAGGTTTCAATTTCATTTCCCTTAGAAACGGCGAGTACAACGTATTCCGGCTACGACGCAGCGCTATATAGCGCTGCGACTATGTATGTAGCCCAACAGAGTGCAAACAGCAATTCGACTAACCAGAAGACTGGAGGTTGGCAGGGCTACCCACGGAAAACATTTGGCGCTGCAGGGGGAGCGATGAAGGCAATGCGGCCCAAACAGCCCCCCAAACCTCAACAGCTTCACTATTGCGATGTCTGTAAGATCAGCTGTGCTGGGCCGCAGACATATCGCGAGCATTTGGAGGGACAGAAACATAAGAAGAAGGAAGCCTCTCTAAAAGTACCACAACAACCACCAGCACGCGGAGCAGGAAACAGTCTACGATGTGAGCTTTGTGATGTCACTTGCACTGGAAATGATGCATACGCTGCTCACATCAGAGGTGCCAAACATCAGAAAGTTGTTAAACTACACACAAAACTTGGAAAACCCATACCAAGTGCAGACCCAACTGTTTTGAACCCAAAACCTGTAGCTACTGTCAAAACTACTGGTACTAAGAAGCCTACGATAACGGCCACACCTAAAATTAATTTTGTTGCTTGTAAGTATTTCATGTTCGAATATATCTAATACTTAAATTCATATGAAATATTTGAGCATTTAATTTTATTTATAATCACAATGATGTTCTTTTTACAGCTGGAAACTTGGGCACTGTGAATCAGAACCAAACTGCGGAAATTAAAGCAGATGAAGTAACAGCGGAAGAGACCGTAGAGGAGGCTGCTGTTGATGAGAAAGATATTCAACCAGTTGGTCAAGAATACATAGAGGAGAATAAATCTGAAGATGGAAAAATTATAAGTTTCAATTGTAAGCTTTGCGAATGCAGATTTAATGATCCTAATGCCAAAGACATGCACATGAAAGGAAGGCGACATAGATTTGCTTACAAAAAGAAAGTTAATCCAGATCTAGTTGTTGACATGAAACCAAGTTTGAAACAAAGGAAATTGTTAGAAGAAAAACTACGCAGACAACAGATGCGTGACGAATATATACGACGTCGTGAAGAAATTAGTCAATTAGGGCCAATGGGTCCAATGATGGATGAAGAAATGATGTATTGGGAAGAACGTCGACGGTATGAAGAAGAATGCGAGTATTATGAATGGTATCGACGTTACGGACGTGGACCAGGAGCTCCACCAATGCCACGACCTTTCCCAGGACCACCTCCGATGATGATGTTCCCTGGTCCTCAGCGCAGACCAGATTCATCTGATGACAAGCATGTATTAGCTCATCACACAAATATTTATCCGAAGGAACAGGAATTGCTGGCAGTTCAAAAAATAGTGTCAGATACAGAGAAAGCATTGAAATTCGTATCTGATACTTTAGCAGAAGCTGGTAATTACTTGAAGTTTTCTTATTGATTTGTTACCTTTATATTAAAGAAGATTAATTACACTATTACTAATAATTGCAGGAAAGAAAACTGCAAGTCCGGTAACTACAAATGCTGCACCAGCAACCCCGGTGGTACCTGTTCAACAGCAACAACAATTAAATGCAGATACAGTAAAAGCAAAAGAAGATTCAGATAAAAAGAAAAATACAACCCCACAGAAAGAAGATGGTAGTGACGGCAATTTATTTTCGTTCCAAAAAGAGAAAGAAGATTCGAGAATACTTAGGGGCGTCATGCGTGTCGGAAATTTGGCAAAGGGACTTCTTCTATCTGGTGATAACCATGTTTGTCTAGTAGTTCTCTGTGCAGAGAAACCAACACGGTTAGTCATAGCTATTGTTACATTACTTATACGTTTACTTGTATCTTTACCGTATTGTTCTTTTCAGGACGTTATTAAATAAAGTTGCTGAAATTCTCCCGGCTCAATTGAAGATCGTAGCTCCCGAAGATACCTACAATGTTGGGAAACATCCGGAATCAGCTGCTTTAACAGTTTCTGGAGGCAGTGTGACTGTCAGTGTAACACTCACTAGTCCTTTAATGCGTGAAACTCCTAAACCAGCAGCTGTTGCAGGTAATTTGAACGTTTTACATTTTCATAGTGGCCAAGAAAAGGATAACTATGTGTACGTAATGTATTTTAACAATTTTACAGAAAACGTCTTTTATTTTCATGCTCTTTTCTCAAACACGCGTTGTTTCGGAATTACGTTTGTTCTTTTCATGGCCCAAAAGCTTTTTTGTAAATTTTTTAAGCACCAGGAAGATGCAGGGGCAGCCACGGACTTCAACGGTTGTCAATGTATATACGCTCTAACATACAAAATTCCTTCCCTTTCTAATGCAGCTGCAATTTGGTGTGTCCACGATTGACATATGGTTAATAAACCGTATAAAAAAAATAATAATAATAAAAAAGATATACAATGTAAGAGCGTACATAAAAGTATCACAATAAGTCATTAAATTTTAACGGAAAAGAGAGAGCGTAAACTTGATACGGTTAAGACGTTTTTCTTCAGTTTAAGTTATCTCGTAGTAACACATTCTATAAGTCATACAATAAATAGAGCTGGAGTCTCCAGTAAAGAAGAGTATGCTAACAATGAACGTGGACACGCTTTTGGTATGAGGAAACAACGCTGAGGCAATCTTAAAACTATGGACTTTTTGATCATGCATAGATAATCTAAAATGAAACAACCCTCTATCATCGAATGTTGTACGTATGCTGTACAATGCGTAGTAAATTCTACATTCTAACCGACGATTCTTTTGATAATGTTACTTTCCGTATTCGATTCTGAGTAACGTTATCACTTCGAGTGAGAACCGTCGGTCGTTCTTTTCGAACATATTCGATTGCGTAAAAGGACGTACAGAAATGGAAGTAACTCAACATTGTCGCGTACTACATTCGATTAGGTTTATTTTTGTTTTGATGAGAATGTTGTAGGCTATAGTCCTCAAGCAATTAATCTGCTTGAGCTAAAGTATAATCATAGAGGGAAAACCCAAATTGGGCATGATCAAACACTCTAAGTGTTGTCTAAGCGTGTTGTGCTTTCTTTGTTGGAATCTCAGATAATGCTGGACAGCAGCAACAGGGAGCTGCTCAACCGCAAACAACACCCACGGCCCCCGCTGTGACGAAACCAGATCCACCAGATGTACTTCCCAAGGCTAAGTGTTTGGAGGCTTTAGCTGCACTCAGGCATGCCAAGTGGTTTCAGGTTTGAATCAATCAACTCTCAGTTCAAGATCTCGAATTGTCGGTGCCATTTTTGTTGGCACTAAACGATTGTTTTCTGTTATTTTTTCCTAAATACGCGAAACGCGTGCAAGTTGTCCTCTCTCTCTGTCCGCCAAAAAGAGCAGTCTTAGAACTTCCAGCCTTGTGACAAATTTTATTTTTATTATCATCTTCTTGTTGATATGATTTTGTCTGAAACATTTATTTGATCACGTTTGATGTTCACATTCTTTATGTCTGCCAATCCAATTTGTCCACTGATGAATTTTTATGAAAAATAACCATTAGGTTACGTAGAGTTGTTTGCTATCATAGATATTCTATGTGAGCGACAGTGGCAACATTTGGTTATTGGCAATTGCTTTCGAACAAAAAGATATGTATATATATGCAATATATTTTATGAAGCAGTAACATTCGACGTGTAATCAGATTGTCTCAGACAAGAAGTTTAAGCATTATGTAAGTGTGAACTGTAGCAATTAATACATTGATGCACACTGAAAACTTACATTTGCTTTACTTTCAATCATCAACATCCAGAATAATAGCAAACTATTTGCGAAAAGCCATTTCAAAGTATGTAACTTTTCTTCAAAGAATGTAGTTTTGTTTGTTTTGTTTATAATGCACAACTGCTTTATGATGCTTATGGATAAGCTTATTCATTATTCTGGATTTAACCTTAATGCATTGTAGCCTAGACTGAGTCTGTTCTAGGTCTGTCTTAGAAGTTCTTAACATTAGCATCTTTGTACTTTATAAATATGTATCTTATTCTATGCTTTCTACACAATGTGCGTTGTACGCACTGTTGAATGTTACAAGACAGACAAGCACAAACACACAGTGGTGTCATAACTATATCGGGTGTTTTTCCAGTTATAAGTTCAAGAAGTCTATTTGGCACATTGTCGAGTGTACATTTTTTTCGAATACGCTGTACGTTTTTTTTAAATATTATGTTAGGTATTATTCAGGAAGTAATTAATAAACACCCGATAATTTTGATATGGGCTAATACTCTAGGGGTTATAGGCACGAGGCTGGGAGGATAGCTAAAGCCCACACAAAGCAAATTAAAAGTAGTTTAGGGCGTCGCATCTTCAGAAGACTCAGAGACTTTAATGAATATATTACATTGTGAGTACTAAAGCATTACTCATATTTAACAGGCTAGAGCTACATCGCTGCAGAGCTGTGTTATGGTCATTCGCATAATGCGTGATCTTTGTAACCGCGTACCCACCTGGGGACCACTGAACCCATGGGTTAGTATTGAATAATTTTTCTAATATATTTACTTTTTACTTCAAAATTTTTATATACTTATTGCATGTTTTAACTGTAATATAAACTCTTACTTTTTTTTACATAACACTAAACTATTTCCCATCCTTTCTCTTTGAATGTGTTGGTAGTTTAATATATAAGCAAAATTAAATGATTATCTAATACTTCCTAGGCTTTGGAACTATTGACGGAGAAAGTGATAAGCACTGCTGGCGGACCTCTCAGTCCAGGAGAAGCTTTACGAAGACTCCTCGAATGTGTTGCTGGAGGAATATTGCTTCCTGGAAGCCCAGGTACTCTTTGATATTTGTCAATTGCAATAATTAGCGAAACAAATTCAACTTCTTCAAAGTGATTCAATGTAAAAAATGATGATAAAGATGACGAGACTGAGCGTATCGTGAATTTCATTGTTGATTTTAAAGTCGAGTATTTCAACTTTTTCCTCACTATGAATACTTCATGATACAGCATAGATGATTTGGCAATCTGAGTATATTAAATCTAGTATATTAAAAATTATTCAGATTTTAGAATAGACTACAATATTTATCTATGATATTTTCGTACAGGATTGTCTGATCCATGTGAGAAGGAACCAGTTGATGCAATTGGTAATATGACAAATCAACAAAGAGAAGATATAACTGCTTCAGCGCAGCACGCTTTGCGATTAGTTGCGTTCCGTCAGATCCATAAAGTCCTTGGTATGGAACAACTTCCTCCACCTAAATATAAAGGACGATTCGCCAGAAAGCGAAGACGCGACAATAGTAATGGAGAAGGAACGGACAGTGAAGCTTCAAAAAAAGATAAAAAAGCAGAGGAGATCAAAATGGAGACGGACTCCAAATAGATCTACCAAAATATTCGCTTTACCGATTTACTCATAACTTATATAGCATAAGAAACAAATTTTCCTCGTGTCAATTGCTTGTTCAATGAAACCTGTCTATACTGGGAAGATGTCAAAGTTTAGATCAGAATTAATGACCTATTACTATATTGCGACAACTGTTTCGAGTGTAGGTATTTCTTTGGACAACTAGTGGCATAATTTTAATTCGCAATCATAATTTTAATGGCGAAAGGAAATGATTAAATCAGATTATATCATTATATACCTTGACTTTATCTTATACATACGATAACATTATGGATTCTTCACCTTCCTACTAGTAGTAAGTCCAACGTTTGAAGGAAGAAAATAATGTATTACTTGCATTCTTGCAAGTACTTTAAATTTAAAATAGGTTTCGAACGTGTGTAAGAGCACGTTATTTCTTCAAACTTAATTCATCTTAGATTTATTTCATGAAACATTTCGATGTTAACGGCAAGTTATAAATCTTGTTGTTTCTAGAATTTATAAGAATGACATTTTTGCAATTATGTTAGTATGTAAAAAACTCTTGAAGAAGACATAAGATCTTTCCCAAACAGGCAATTGGTACGATTAGTTCCAGCACTAGAATTTTGTCGAAGAAAATGATAAATGCGTTAATTAGTTTGAATTACTTACTTAGCTATATTTCAAAGTCACAATATATGATGGAGGAGTTTAATAGAAATGATGGTAAAAATAAACATTTATAAGTTTTGAAGTTAACACGTTCACAGTCCCGTGTCCCATCTATGGATCATGACGATTTCAAACAAAAAATTTAATAAATCATATCGCAAATAAAATTAGCCGAAAAGCTTTTTTTGAATTTAGTACAATAACACAGCATTACAGTCTATGGAAAAGAAGACTGCTTTATTATTGATCTTTAAAGAAACCATCGCCTTTATCTATATTTGAGTTTACATATCTGAACTGTGAACGTGTTATCTATAGGTTAGTTTCTATTGAGAATTCGTGTGTATGTTGTGTGTGTAGTCGTAAAAAGTGCAGTATGTTTCCTGCACCTGATAAGTCGTATGTTCACGTCGCGTATATTAATTCACGCAGAAGATTCCGAGAAAGCAGAATTGCAAGTCGATTATTGAAATAGACGCTTTGCTGTCCAATGAGGGTTAAGTGCACGTGTCAAGAATTCCTAATATTTACTGCAGTTTTGTTTACCAAGAATCTTACAGGAAGTTGAGTAACATTTTAAAATGTTCGTATTAAAATAAATTTCTGACACAGTGTATGGATCTTCTGTTGTACACATGCAAATCCTCTTTGAATAAATCGAACATGCATGCGATAAGTATAAGTATTTTTTTCACTACCATATTCCTTTGCATATGTAGCATAAGCGATTTTTTTTAAATAACAAATCGGTCTAATGATAAATCCTCCATAATATGAAGGCCACACACACAATAGCACTCAAATCGTATGATTATGGTTACTAGGTAATTTTTTACAAGAACGAACACTCATTATACAAAAGAAGTTACTTTATTTTTGGATAGCACCGAGCAGAACTGAGACTGATATTTTGTATTAATTTTCCAATAAATATATTAGAAGATACATTTAGAGTTAATCAAAATTTAATTTATGTATGAGTTATGAAATTGATGTGGCATATTGATTCTGTTTGGTGCAACTAGTCTATTCAATACACGTGTTCACTGATTTAATCCCGTCATTTTTCTTACGATCTTGTACTTTCTAGGAATAATATGATTTATATTAATTTCCTTTCTTGATCGAACTGACACGCGCTTAAAAATCAATATACAGTAAAGCAGTAGTAGCCACAGTAGTAACCACCTTTCGTTTCCTATTTTACAGTATTATTGAAAATGTATTTGTACATACTCGAGCTACATGACATATGTATTCTTAATTTATTGTCTTTTGAACCAAATATTAATGTAACAGTATGCTGTATGTTTGCAGGTGTTTTTTTTACAAAGAAAATTCGCAAACTTTCTTCGCTTAGCCCCTGTAACCTGCAAAAATAAATGTGTGTAGAGCCTTGAGGAATTTTCAATTTAAATAGTATATTTTATTTGTTCAGTATTAAGAATTGACCAGTATGCCGAAAATCAATAGATTCTTCCGTTGATAACTATTCGTGAATATATGTATATATGTATACGTACATATACACCAATTCCCGTTAATGTTCGAACACTTTCCAAAACGCAATAATTATTTTAGAATTGGACTAAACGATTTGAACTTTTTTTAGATGATTGAGCGACCAGTTTACGAGACAATAACTAGAATGCTTTTTTTAAATTTTGCTATTTCTTAGAATGACAAAAGAAGATAAAAAAACTCTAGTTTTTTAATTTTTTATCTGAACCTATAACGAAAATCTAAAAAACGTATTTTAAAAATTACACCAAAATCGATTGACCTCAGTATGAGTTGTGAACAATTAAAAATCACAAAAATCATAGTCTTGCCCTAATTTTTTACACTAGATGAATAAGTGTGAAAAATTTGCAATTTTTACAATCTTTTAACGTTTGTAACTTAACTTTCCGTTAACCGATTTCGATGAAATTTTCAGCATGCACATAAATTATTGAGATCTACAAAACGCACTTTTTTAGATTTTCTTTATAGGCTCGCATAAAAAAGTTAAAAAACGAGAAACTTTTATTTTGTTTTGTCATTTCAAGTAATAGCAAAATTGTAACAAAGTAGTTTAGTCATATATTAGTCCCTTTATCATCTAAAAAAAATTCAAATCGTTTATTCCAGTTTTAAAAAAGTTATTCTAGTTTTAAGAAAATAAATGCGTTTTAAATAGTGTCCGAATATTAACGAGAGTCATCGTATATTGAAAGGTTATCCATTTCTACGATATAAACATTTCTGTTTGTTGATTGACTTACTTCCACTGCACACGATGTTTAATTCAATGTTTTTAAATCGTGTTATGTCGCGGATCAGTCAGTTGTAAATCGGCGATCGTGGATCCTATTAATATTATACGATTACGTCGATATTACACAGTGATTATCGATCATGCCGCTAGCAAACAAAAATGTTCGCATCTCAGAAACGATCGAGCTAGCTTTACTAAGGCTTTTTTACTCAGTACAATATGGCACGCGTGAATGTTTCAAACGCAAGAAAATTTATAAATCAACGAGATCTAATAGCATCTTCTTTTTGGAATGAGTAATCTTTTAGTTCGCGAACGAATGTTCCCTTTAATTCCGACTTTTATAAAATAACGTATAAAAACGAGAATTTGCATAGAAAACCGCGGTCGAGTTGTAAGTCTTCCACCGAAACCACGAATTCCCAGGGAACGTGGGTGTCGTTTACCCCGAGCGAGAAAGGAAAGTTTATTTTCGATCTTGGAGAATCTGCAAGGATACGGCTTCGTCGGGTCGGATTTAATTAAAACTTTTACAACAATGGACCGCGGGCCGGTTGGAAGAGACCGGGGGATCCAGTCGTCTCCAGAAAGGAAGACCTTGGCGGCGACTAATCAATCGACATCGCGGTAATCAAGAGAAAAAGTGTGTCAGCGGCGCGCTACTAACGAGAGCCGAACGGGACTCGCGGAAACTGGAGTAGGGAGTGGAAGAAAGTAAGCGATAATGAGGAACGTACCGTCGTCGGGGAACGGAAGGGAACGATATCGGTCATTTCCGGACCCGTGGAACCGCTGAAAAGTTTCCGTTCCGCGATGCCACTGGCATTCTTTGCCGTCTCATTCAGCGTTCTCGGAGTCCTTTCGTGTCCTAGCAGCATGATTCTTATGCGGCAGACAGACACAATAGCCTGCAGTCAAATTACGTTCGATCGGCCAACGTTCTCCACGACCATAACTCCTCGACTTTGTACTCTAATTAGGGAAGTTCGCTCCGGGACTCGTATTTCTTCTCGCGGAGCCCGGCGTAAAATATAGGAGAACGCGATCTATCGCAGCTTCTATAACCTCCCTGCAACTCGATACAAATCTTTCCTCGAATTCTCGGTAAACTACCATTCTTCATACCTATTTAAACGCGTCGGGCGAATTTCTATTGTGACACGCGAGCTTTAAACAGTTACAGCGAGGCGAAAAGTTTTCGGACAACTTTTAAAGCGGTATAACGTTTCCTTCAAAGCGAAGGAAATGACTTGATTTTTTTTTTTTGTTGAAGACGTTAAAGGGATCTGTTTACTGTACAATGATTAAAATAATTGTTTTAATTTCGCTATTACTCGGAGTGACGAAAGCATACGTTTTGTACATCTGGGTAAGTTACGTGCATCTTGAAAATTTCATTGAGATCGATTGTCGCATAATCAAGCTATAGCCACTGCAAGATGTGAAAATGATCTGTTTTTCGTTGAAATTCCTGAAAAACTTCTATTTTCGTGAACTTAAAATGTGAACGGCTCGTAACAACGCGAACCGATTTCAATGAAATTTCCAGTGTGCATCTAAAAACATATTTTTTCAATTTTCGTTATAAACTTAGTTTTTATTAGGCTTTTAAAAATATTTTTTGTCATTACAAGTAATAGCAAAATGAAATGAAATTATTTTAGTCTTGTACAGTAAATATTCAAAATATTTTCAAATTTACGAATATATTATAGCTTTCACTGAAATTGCAATACAAACGGCAAATTACATTCCCCGTCTTACTAACTGCTCCACTGCTGCAGTTATCGGTCGCTATCGACTGCGCCGCCCCGTCGATCTTCGTCACCGTTTTCGGCCAACAACGAGGGGTACTAGTAAGAGGGGAAATGAGTAAGAGGGGACTACACAAAATAAAGACTCCACTGATTGTTATTATCGGTTAATTCATTGTATTGAACATTTTCAACACTGCTGTTTAATTGACATAATTAAACAGTAATGTTGAAAATGGCACTTGTTGAATCAACTGTGTTGATTCTAGGCACTATTTTCAGCAATAGTTTCCCATAAATATGTGAACGTCTGGATTATAACATGGCCACCACTGTCACAAAATTCTGTAGAATATATAAAACGCGGGATATTACGTCCACAAAACTTTTTTTCTTATTTTAGTGTGTCGAATTGGCCCTGCTGTGCTTTCCACGCGCGACGGAATAGCCTGTATAAATTTGAAAAAAACACATTAACGGTCGTGTCCTCGGACAAACGCCATAGGGTGCCAAGCATTGGTAAGACTTATTGCTCATGTTACCAAATTCATCGAAGATTGAAGCAGTATAAATCCCTTTGAAATGGCTGCAATCGTTCAACGGCGACAACGTTAATCGGAAGAAGGCAAAGAAAGAAAGAGAAGAAAAGAAGGGAGAACGTTTCGACGATATTCGGCGATCCGAAGGTAGTAGATCCAATTTAACATACAGGACGTCTCAGTTACATTCTGTTAAACTTCGCGAGGATATTGTGACAGTAAAAATAGGAACGAAAATGATACATGGACATTATAGCATCTTGGGTGTTTTTTTGCGAGATTGTGTAAGGTTATTATANTTTCGTCACATTCAGAATAATTGCATCAGGAAAATGCTACTTTGGAACATACCATGACACTGAAAATTTCAGTCTTTGTCGATGACTAGTTCTGTATAATTTTACGCAGTTCTGACATTGATAAACAGTTTATGAAAGTTATCTATTTTGAATCAGCTTTTCTTTGTTCTTTGTGTCTTAGCTCATTACAAATTGATATCATTGTATCTTACTTTTGACATAACCTAAATTATACTACATTGAAATTAATCTTAAATTTTCTTAAAGCTAGATTTAATCATTATTAATACATAATATTAATTTCAAATGAACTGAATGAATCTTAGAAAATATATCCTTATAAAAAATAAAGTCAGGAAGGTCTTCTGCTCAATAATTTTCATTTATGTGCTACATCTATCTTTATGAAGATGTGAAGATTACAAGAGAAAGCAGGTCAAAATAAAAATTGTTCATCTAGTAAGTTGCATTATTTTAAGAACAACAAAAATATAGCAAGTGATTTATATAAATAATCCAAGTACAATGAATTATGTATATTGAACGTATATGCAATGATTAGTGGATTTACTCTTTGTGCTTAGAACCAATCAGATGTGACAACGTCACGTAGCCAATGACGGTAGAAAATTGGTCCAATAAGCTCTTTCGCTGAAATCTCGTGATATATCTGCGCATGATCAGTACGGTATTCCGTCAGTAACAAAAGGAACGCCCGTTCCTGCTTCTGATCAGTTCTGAAGAACTATTCAGTCGTACGAGAACTATTCAGCGATTCGTTGAGAAAAGAGACAGTTTTACTGAACTTTCGAGAAAATTTTTGCTGCTTTACAAGGTAAGAACTTTTTATACGATGTATAATATAATGTACGTCACGTACATACGTGTACATACAACGCATTTACTTATGTGATAAAATAGTAATCAATTTATTATTGCTGACATTAATTTCCTCGTTTATGAATTCAGATTTTCGGTTAATTTTGATTCCATTTTTTACCGATTTTTTCGTAGTCTCAGATTATTAGTTCTATTGTTCATGAAAAGGTGAAGGTAAGCAACGGAATGGGTCACATATTGCCTTGAAAAATGAACTCGACCGTCAAGATCAAATACAATGTGGGAACACTTATAATTAGATTTATTGCAAGTAGATACAAATGTTATACTATAACTACGTATATACAGGAACAAAAACTTCGTAGAATAGTCTGGAGCAGCAGTTATAAAAAATACATTGCATTTTTACTGCGTAATATTGGAACACAAAATGGCGGTTATTGATTCATCAAAAGGTCGCCATTATGGAATGACATTTGGACTATTCCAGACTATAATTACGATGACTAAGCTACCGTTATTCGTGACAGGCACATAAAATTAGTTGATATATAATTTACAATAAGAACTTCTATAAATTAAAAACTTTGGATGAAGATCATCGTGTACGTAGAATAAATGATTATATAGACTTATTTATTACATTAATATAAATTTTGAAGCATAAGTAATTCTTTTTGCTGTAGTTATTTGTGAGTACAATCTGACATAAACATATAATAGCTAAAGATGCCAACTTATTATACAGCATCTTGTCAGGATAAATTAAATATAAAAATATTGTATTATATTTGGTAGAAAATGAATAATTAACAGATAGACCTACATATCCTTTGTGTAGATCTATATATATTTTGGCTACATCGTGCACATAACACATTGACTGCCATGAAAAATTTACATGTTGCTATCATGGAGACGCAAGAGAATTTTCATAATTGTAAACATATAATACAAAAATACTAAGAATTATGGCTACATAAGGTCGTGCCCTTATCCCTAGTGCATACATTTTGCAGCTCTCTGGTACACGTAGCTTTTCTTCATTAGTTTTCTAATATTTTCTAAAATATTGCAAATCATGGTTTGAAAAATGGAAGAATTAAGAATTGGAGAATAAAGGTGACTACATATTGCAGAAATTGATGATCAGCCTCATTTATTTTATTCAGTCTCTTTTTCTCTAAAAATATATATGGTTTAACTAAAATCGTTAATTGTTTGAATTCATTCTATTTGGATAACTGTAAATATTTCAGACCTACTGGTCAACAATAACCACATGGCAGTCGACATGTCAAGTATAATATAATAATACGGTCAAGAACATCCATTTCACAATTTTATGCAGAGACTATTGTGACAGTTTTATGTTCAGAAACTTCTCTAAATGAGAGTAAATTCTCGTTATATATATAAATAACATATATAATTATTTTTTAGATAAACATGCAGATCTTTGTTAAGACACTGACTGGGAAAACAATAACCCTTGAGGTGGAGGCATCAGATACAATCGAAAATGTCAAAGCAAAAATTCAAGACAAGGAAGGCATCCCACCAGATCAACAGAGATTGATCTTCGCAGGAAAGCAGCTAGAAGATGGACGCACGCTTTCAGATTATAACATACAAAAGGAATCAACCCTCCATCTTGTATTACGTCTTCGTGGAGGCATGCAAATTTTTGTTAAAACACTGACTGGTAAAACTATAACGCTGGAAGTTGAGGCGGCCGATACTATTGAAAATGTGAAGGCAAAAATTCAAGATAAAGAAGGCATCCCACCAGACCAGCAGAGATTAATTTTCGCTGGAAAACAACTGGAAGATGGGCGAACACTGTCCGATTATAACATTCAGAAGGAATCCACTCTCCATCTTGTCTTACGTCTTCGTGGAGGCATGCAAATCTTCGTTAAGACCCTCACTGGTAAAACTATTACATTGGAAGTAGAAGCCTCTGACACTATTGAAAATGTGAAAGCAAAAATTCAGGACAAGGAGGGAATCCCTCCGGACCAGCAGAGGCTGATATTCGCAGGAAAGCAGCTGGAAGACGGGCGAACACTATCCGACTATAACATTCAAAAGGAATCCACTCTCCATCTTGTCTTACGTCTTCGTGGTGGCATGCAAATCTTCGTTAAGACCCTCACTGGTAAAACTATTACATTGGAAGTAGAAGCCTCTGACACTATTGAAAATGTGAAAGCAAAAATTCAGGACAAGGAGGGAATCCCTCCGGACCAGCAGAGGCTGATATTCGCAGGAAAGCAGCTGGAAGATGGGCGAACACTATCCGACTATAACATTCAAAAGGAATCCACTCTCCATCTTGTCTTACGTCTTCGTGGTGGCATGCAAATCTTCGTTAAGACCCTCACTGGTAAAACTATTACATTGGAAGTAGAAGCCTCTGACACTATTGAAAATGTGAAAGCAAAAATTCAGGACAAGGAGGGAATCCCTCCAGACCAGCAGAGGCTGATATTCGCAGGAAAGCAGCTGGAAGATGGGCGAACACTATCCGACTATAACATTCAAAAGGAATCCACTCTCCATCTTGTCTTACGTCTTCGTGGTGGCATGCAAATCTTCGTTAAGACCCTCACTGGTAAAACTATTACATTGGAAGTAGAAGCCTCTGACACTATTGAAAATGTGAAAGCAAAAATTCAGGACAAGGAGGGAATCCCTCCAGACCAGCAGAGGCTGATATTCGCAGGAAAGCAGCTGGAAGATGGGCGAACACTATCCGACTATAACATTCAAAAGGAATCCACTCTCCATCTTGTCTTACGTCTTCGTGGTGGCATGCAAATCTTCGTTAAGACCCTCACTGGTAAAACTATTACATTGGAAGTAGAAGCCTCTGACACTATTGAAAATGTGAAAGCAAAAATTCAGGACAAGGAGGGAATCCCTCCAGACCAGCAGAGGCTGATATTCGCAGGAAAGCAGCTGGAAGATGGGCGAACACTATCCGACTATAACATTCAAAAGGAATCCACTCTCCATCTTGTCTTACGTCTTCGTGGTGGCATGCAAATCTTCGTTAAGACCCTCACTGGTAAAACTATTACATTGGAAGTAGAAGCCTCTGACACTATTGAAAATGTGAAAGCAAAAATTCAGGACAAGGAGGGAATCCCTCCGGACCAGCAGAGGCTGATATTCGCAGGAAAGCAGCTGGAAGACGGGCGAACACTGTCCGATTATAACATTCAAAAGGAATCCACTCTTCATCTTGTCTTACGTCTGCGTGGAGGCATGCAAATCTTTGTTAAGACTCTTACTGGTAAAACTATTACATTGGAAGTAGAAGCCTCTGACACTATTGAAAATGTGAAAGCAAAAATTCAGGACAAGGAGGGAATCCCTCCGGACCAGCAGAGGCTGATATTCGCAGGAAAGCAGCTGGAAGACGGGCGAACACTGTCCGATTATAACATTCANAAAAATTCAGGACAAGGAGGGTATCCCTCCGGACCAGCAGAGGCTGATATTCGCAGGAAAGCAGCTGGAAGACGGGCGAACTCTATCCGACTATAACATTCAAAAGGAATCCACTCTCCATCTTGTCTTAAGACTTCGTGGTGGCATGCAAATCTTCGTTAAGACCCTCACTGGTAAAACTATTACATTGGAAGTAGAAGCCTCTGACACTATTGAAAATGTGAAAGCCAAAATTCAGGACAAGGAGGGGATCCCTCCAGACCAGCAGAGGTTGATATTCGCAGGAAAGCAGCTGGAAGACGGGCGAACATTGTCCGACTATAATATCCAAAAGGAATCCACTCTCCATCTTGTCTTACGTCTGCGTGGTGGCATGCAAATCTTCGTCAAGACCCTCACTGGAAAAACTATTACCCTGGAAGTAGAAGCCTCTGATACTATTGAGAATGTGAAAGCAAAAATTCAGGACAAGGAGGGGATCCCTCCAGACCAGCAGAGGTTGATATTCGCAGGAAAGCAGCTGGAAGACGGGCGAACATTGTCCGACTATAATATCCAAAAGGAATCCACTCTCCATCTTGTCTTACGTCTGCGTGGAGGCATGCAAATCTTCGTCAAGACCCTCACTGGAAAGACTATTACCCTGGAAGTAGAAGCCTCTGATACTATTGAGAATGTGAAAGCAAAAATTCAGGACAAGGAGGGAATTCCTCCAGACCAGCAGAGGTTGATTTTTGCAGGAAAGCAGCTGGAAGACGGGCGAACACTGTCCGACTATAACATTCAAAAGGAGTCTACTCTCCATCTTGTCTTACGTCTTCGTGGAGGCATGCAAATATTCGTTAAAACCCTCACTGGTAAAACTATTACATTGGAAGTAGAAGCCTCTGATACTATCGAAAATGTGAAAGCAAAAATTCAGGACAAGGAGGGAATCCCTCCAGACCAGCAGAGGTTGATATTCGCAGGAAAGCAGCTGGAAGATGGGCGAACACTGTCCGACTATAATATTCAAAAGGAATCCACCCTCCATCTTGTCTTACGTCTTCGTGGAGGCATGCAAATATTTGTTAAGACCCTCACTGGTAAAACTATTACATTGGAAGTAGAAGCCTCTGATACTATCGAAAATGTGAAAGCAAAAATTCAGGACAAGGAGGGGATCCCTCCAGACCAACAGAGGCTGATATTCGCAGGAAAACAGCTGGAGGATGGGCGAACACTATCCGACTATAACATTCAAAAGGAATCCACTCTCCATCTTGTCTTACGTCTTCGTGGAGGAGGCATGCAAATCTTTGTTAAGACCCTTACTGGTAAGACAATTACGCTTGAAGTTGAGGCGGCCGATACTATTGAAAACGTGAAGGCGAAAATTTTGGTTAAAGAGGGAATTCCTCCAGATCAGCAGAGGTTGATCTTCGCCGGGAAACAACTTGAGGACGGACGCACACTTTCTGATTATAATATTCAAAAGGAATCTACTCTCCATCTTGTACTCCGACTTCGTGGTGGCATCAGAAAGTAAGGAGGGATTAATCGTCGTTGAAAGAAATTTGATAGCGGTCTATTGTCCCGTTATGACGATCCATGAATACATACATTTATATATACAAATGCACACGGGGGAAAAACATCAGTTCTGTGCCATTCTACTTTATTTCCAGCATTCAATTTGTTAAACACAATGAAATTATTTCACCTAGTAATTTAGTCATATTCAAATCATTAATTTAGTTCCTTATATTTTGTAGCCATTTTCTTTAAAATCACGAAGTATGCAAGTTTATAATTTTTGTATTCAATAATCATTTAATTATCACGAATAAATTATATTGTGCATTTGACTAAAATAAATTATTTCAACTGTAACGTGTACGCGGGTATTTAAAAGTGTATTGTATATAGGCTCTCTGAAGTATATACGTGTCTTTAGTTATCCATGAATTTCGTGCAAAATAAATATATATAAGGAAAATTAATTGCCGACGCTTGTAAATGTTTTGGCCGTTTTAATTTTTTTTTTAATTTAATGTTAAGCCTAGTACGGAGTGCTATTATTATGTGATGCATTGTTCATATTTACTTATAAATTATAGATTGTACGTAATGTATGTTAGTATCCATTCGCGCGTTCAGTACAAAAATAAAAATTTGTTATAAGAACACTTTCGTATGTACTATATCTCCTGTGTACAATGAAAGAAAAAATTTTAATTTGCTAAAAATTCATATAAATTTATATATTTAATCGCAGTGTATTTGGTGCATTTAGTAAATATATTTGTTCTAAATGAATAGAATGTTCCTTGCATATTCTTTTCCTTAAAAAAGCGGTCAGCAAGGTTCTGTTTTATTCAATAATTTGCATTTCCGTGCGTCATCTATCTTTATGAAAATTGTAATAATTAAAAGAGGAAGAGTATGGGCTAAAATAATAAATGTTCGTCTGATAATCTTTTTATTTTATAATCGTTAAAAATACAACAAATCATTTCTATAAACTACAAATGATGCTAGTACAATGTTTAGTATGCAATTTGGACTTTGTGTTTGAAACCACTCGGATGTGGTTTGAAAATGTGAAAATGTAAAAGCAAAAATTCAAGATAAGGAGGGCATTCCACCAGATCAGCAAAGATTGATTTTTGCTGGAATACAACTTGAAGATAGACGCACTCTTTCAGATTATACTATTCAGAAAGAATCTACTTTACATCTTGTACTTCGTCTTCGTGGCGGTAAGTAAATTTTTGTTAAGAAGCTTTTAGAAAAATTTTGTAACATTTGAATCTAAAAGCGAAAATTCAGGACAATTCTAAATTCCTCTGATGTCTATAGAGATCGGTTTTCGCTATAAAACAAGTTGAGCCGCTAGACCGATGTGCAATGTAAGAAAGGGTAGAAAATATGAAAGACATTTTTATTGATTATTTATTTTCTATTTTTTTATACAGTTCTGCTGTTGTACATGATCATGTGAGCATTACATCGTAAAGTTTTGTTAATAAAATGGCGTACAAATAATACCATGCTGACACTTATTTTAATTATTACATTATTCGAATCGAATTGTTCTTTGGTCGACTTCTTGTGTACAGATTTCGAAGCTCGTTGAAAATTTAAAAATGGCGCTGTTTATGACACGTGGCGTCCCCTGCGATGCAATTTTAAAACTCCGTTCGAGGGCCGTACAGCGTCAATTGGTAGGTGGCGAAACACTGAAACTGTTAGCCAAAATTGAATGTCGATAATTTGGCTAGCAGTTTCAGCGATCTGCCGCTGTAATAATTGGCACTGTAAGCACTCCGTATGGAGCTTCCAAATTTCGCCACAAGAGACGCCACTGTTTGGCTAGCAGTTTCAATGTTTTGCCACATACTTATTGGCGCTCTACGGATCTCTAAGGGAGCTTCTAGATTTCGCCAGAAGAAGCGCTACTATCGCCAAGAGAGTAATTGATTCTTGCTGGATTTTACATTGTCTCTTATGGGAAAAGCGGCACGAATCGTTTGTTCCGATATTTAATATCGTGATATAAAGTTGAAAATTCTTTATAACTAATATGCAAAATATTACTACAGGTCAGCGACCCGTTCTACATTTTCCAGTTATAAAAATTAGAAGAAATTCGAAATTACATCTAAAACAATACCTTTTGTCGATTTTCAAATGTCCATTTGCTGGTACAGAACGAAATGCTGCTTTCTGCGAAATGCTTTCTCTTCTGTAACGTAAATTTTCATTTTATCGATCTAATCACATAATCGATAATTCCTGTAATAATTCATGCATAATGAAAATAAGATAAAGGTATTTCAGGACTATACGTCTCTTATTTGTTCTTGTATTGTAAATAATAGAAGATCCGATATTATATTCTTGTATAATATTATTCTTATTCTTTATGCTTTATATTGAAATACAACAGAAATATGAATAATTGAAACAAAAATATGCAATTATGTTAGAACGCAATACAGTCGGTTAAATCCGAATCGATACTAACAGAGGAGCTGACCTATAGTTACATTGGTATCAAACAATAATCCGGATAATCTCAACTCTACCATATATCCATAAATGTAGTCTCGGATGTATACAATAAATATGTTGTACGATATTATTATAGGTATTTTTATTATATATATATAATATTATACTACAATATAATGTATAATATAATATAATAAAATAATATTATAATAATATAATAATATAATATAATATAATATAATATAATAACAATATAGTATTATATTCTTATTATATTATTATATTATTATAGATATTTTTATTATATATATAATAAAAATACCTATACCTATAATTATATATATGTAATAATAATAATATAATATTATATTATTATTATATTATTATAGATAAATGATAAATGATAGTACACAAAGAAACCCTTTGTTACGAAATAGCATATAATTGTTTGTTTAGAAGACGCGTTGGATTGCATTTAATAATTCGTGCATAGCTTATTTCTTTCTTAAGCGGTAATTGTCGAATAAGTCATAGTAAATTGAATATGGACGAGCGTTCTACTGGTGTTCCATGCAGAGTTTTCTATAAATTGAACGAAATTAAACAGGGTGACGCGTAATCGCCACTGGCACTGGCAACGTACGGCCAGTCTACAATTATTTATACTTCAGCTGCTCCGATGCATGCACGCGGCAATTCGATTAAAATTTTCACGCGCTGACGAAACGTGAACGAATTTCCGAGAGTTCCAGCACCACCACCGCCACGGTAGTGCAATATCACAGCTGCAATTACGAGAATTATTGTTACATTTGGCCGTATTTAAAATGTTCGTTTATATAAAAACGTAATATATATATAATATATAATATATAATATCGTCTTCTCGTATACATGTATGAGCCGTTTATTTTGAAAGTGGCATAAGTCGCTTTGTTTTTAAGTCGATATATTTAAGGGTTTGCGTTTTTTAACACGTTTAAAAATATGAATGCTAACTTTCGAGAAGATTTACTTGTATTTGTTGTCTCAGGATACTGATATTTTTCTCAGTATAAATGATTTCGTATAAATATTAAAAAATCACCACTTTTCATCACGGTAAAGTGACTTATGCCACTTTCAAGATAAACGGCTCACACGCTGACTTGCGTTTACATATTCCTCCGTAAAAAAGGATAACAATAATAATAATAATAATAATAATAATAATAAAGTCGAGATGACACATTTATTACGAGCCCCGACGAGATGAAGATTGTTTATCGTTTTCGTTGATTTTAGTTTACTCCGATCCAACGGCGAACACCGAAAACAACTGTTCAATTCGATCGATAACCGTCGAAGCTCCGATTACAAAGAAGCAGTTTTTCGTTTCCTTAGCGAGAACTTTGGAACCACACAGCCTCGAATTTCGGCCCAGAGCGAAGGTCTTTTTTCCTGTAATTTTAGATTTTAACGATAAGCCACGCAATTACCGTTTTCGCGGGTCAGATTAAACTTTCGATTAAATCCCGTCCCCGACGCAATTAACGTAAATGTAACTTGATTTCAAAAAGTTGGCCACCGAAAATTTAGGAATCCCGCGTTACGAGCTTGTCGCCCGATTCGCGAGCGACTCTGCGCTTGTTCAATTTATTCAGCTACTTTTCATTATAGAAATTACATTAATTATATTAATTAACAGCACCGATTAACACGGGACTTATTATCGGGGAAACACGTGTTATTAGCATTAATTAATAGATCGCGCACGCTTTACGGCCTTTATTCGATCATTCCTCCCGCACAAAAATTCCGTTCTATCGTCGAAATATCTGAAATCGTTCTCTCCAATTCCGAAACAGTTGTTCCGTCTCAATTAAGACGTCCGAAGATTAACGAGAAACACCGTAAATGTGCGCGACGAAACGACGCGCAACTTATGCGACGCCGTCGAACGCCTCGATTCATTTACGGCTAACAAAAAAATCGAGACGTGTCATCGTCCAAGCGGTCGAATTCACAGTTTTCGGCGAACCGAGCGTACTCAGCCGTATTCGAAAATACCGAGCCACGAGAATCCGAACATCTTTACTTTCAGACCGTTTCGCGAGTCGTCGGAGTCAAACGCACCGATTAATTCGCGGCTAATTAAAAGCCTTTGTCACACGATATCAGTCGATAGATCCACAATTTCCCACGAAATTTCACACAGCGAAATCAGCCGGATTCAGAACTAAACGCGAGCTAAACAAACACCTGTATAGTCGTAGAACGATGAATTCACAGTTCTCGATGACAGCAAAATCGCTGGGATATCGAAGAAAAAACGAGACGAAAGCCACCGAATCGACCGAAATGTTGCAACGCGCGGATGACGAATTCACGGTTTTCGTCGGCTCGAAGAAGAGCGAATCGGGCGAATTCGAGAAAAAAAGAAGTCTCGCCGCGATAATCTTATCGCTTTTAATTCCCCGGGGGCCCCTTCGGCGAGTCCTCGAAAAGATCCTTGATAGTCCTGCACAACGGTTTCTGGCCGGCCGGCGGCGCGGCGTGTCCCACGGAGCGGGTATCGCGTGTTGCCTAATGGTGGAAGGAAACGTTATCCAGAGGCGGGCAATGGACGGGCATTACTGTACGGCGTGCCCTGGTAGGGCCGAGAGAAGTCAGCCTCCGGGATATGGACTCGTACTCAGTCTTCGAACCGGCCTCGTACCGCGCTCTATGCAGCGTGTCACACAGGCCCGCAAAGAGCGGCAGCAGCTTAGTTAACAAGACCGCGTGGTGCTCGACACCGTCTGCTCCTCCAGCCTGCCTCTCCGACTCCTTCTTCTTTTTCTTCTTCTTCTTCTTGTCGTGCTCGTGGTCACCATCCGCCGTCGAACTCCACGTGAGTTCCTTTCCGGCGAAGTCGAGGAACGGTTCATCGGTTTTGTCGCGGGACGGTTTCGTTCGTCGTTTCGTCTCCCGGTCCGACCGTGTGCGAACGGCCGCGAATTCGGCCGCGATCGTACCCTTTAACCCTCCGTCGAGAGTAAGTGATCCATCGGAAAGGTTCTCGTCGGCCCTCCGGACAGATATCGATTGCCGGAACGCGCGATCCAAGAAGCGGCGGCGATACCTTCCTTCGGAAGAATGGACCGTCTTTTCGTCGGGCTGGTGCTGCTTCATCTCGTGGCAGGTAAGCTGATTCGCACACGCGTGCTCGGCTCTCTTCTTTTCGTCCCGAGACCGGTTGCCTTTCGAGTTTCGGGACACAAGCAGTTCGCCGCGAGAACTGCGAAACACGGCTCTCGCCGGACGGCTATTCGTGGACTGCGGA